GGCTCAGAGCCACTGCAGTTGTGTGTGTGCGGGATAATTCCTTGTATGACCAATTTCACATGTACAGTCTATCTTGTCACAGATATTTAAATGCTGTTATTTGGCAGGGTAAATGATTACTGTAGTAGAGGTGATATTGGATGGAGTAGAAGCTTGGGTTTTTTTTATAAGGGCTTCTGATTCTCCTGCACGGAGGACATTGAGGGAGGCAGGCGTAGCAGTAATAGAGGACAAGTACATGTCTCTTGTTCTCGATTCATTCACGGTTAGCACCAGTGGCTCTCAGCTACTATTTAGAGGACTCGCATTTCATTTCTCAGTCCCTCTTCTCTCCTTTTCCTTCAGCTGGGAAGCTCAGAGGAGCCACAGCAACCTGGCTGCCTTTTCCCACTTTCCTTGTGACGGGTCTGGCAGGGTGTGCTTGGCCGCAGCTTTTGCCAGAGTTTTCTACACATACAAAAATGTGCTGGGGAACCGCATCGCTCGCAGGCGCTGTCCTTGCGAAGATTTACAGCGTAGCCTATAGGAAAGGATGGTCCCTGCTCCCTGCCTGCACTGCAGACCCTGCTGCCTAATGACCCAGGGCCCTTCGCGGGGATACTAAAATATTGTTGTGCTCTTTTGTTCTGACACTTTCCTCCTTTTCGAATGTAAGATTTTTACCATTTTTTTTTTTTGAAACCACAGAGACAGATTGAAGGCAGCCCTATGAATTTGTTAAAAGTTTGACTGCAGGGTTCCTTCCGACCCCTGTGCTAATTTTTAGCAGAGCAGGAAACATTAAAAATAACCATGAGAGAAGATTTCCTAACTCAGAAGGATTGTCCTCTTAATAATCTCTGGCTTCGTTTTCACTAGATCTTTTTCCCCCTTAAAATTCCTGTAACGCTGCTAGAGCAAGTACATCGCTGCCGGCAGCAGTAGTGGCACTGGAGGAGGAAGGCGGAGGGTCAGTTAGCCAGGCGGGCACCGAGGCTTTCTCTGAGCAGGGGTAAGGGATGTTATTGGAAGAGCTTTTGCATGTGAATCAGAGCGTGAAGGCTCCGCATCTTCCCTTCTTATTGAACTCAAAATTGTTCCCAAGCCTTCAGCTGATCTCAGCGTTGGGTGAATCTTTTTTTTTTTTTTTCAATGAGAGGTGACACTTCAGTGCTGTATCTCAAGACATCAGAGATTCTACTGTGAAACAAAACCAAAAATAACCAGAATTTGGTTTAGAACATACCTGAATGTAGCCCCTTCCTCTGCAGTTGAAATGTTGCATGGCCAAACCAAGGCGTGCAGCAAGAGTGTGTGATGTAACAAGCTCTGCTCAAGCTCCAACGTCTTATCTGACCTGTGTCTGCATTCCCAGCATCATTGTGTAAATACATATCATTAAATAATACATCATTAATGTATACCGTAAAATACATACCATTATATAAATAATGTTCTCACCCGGGTGGTGGCAGAGGGGATGCACCACGGTTTGGGTGGTGATGCCTGCAGGAACACCATGTGCCTACGTTACTGTTTGTGAGGGGTAAAGCCAAGGCAAGTAATTGCAATTATCACTCACGCCAGCTCCCTGTCACAGCTCTCCTTGCTAACCCAGCTCCTCCCACCCTGGCAACCTGAGGGCTCCAGCCAGATGTTGCAGATATATATATTTTCTTTATCAAACTGACAGCAGTGTTTCCTCTTTTCTCTTCAAATGTGGAGGATGCCCCACAGAGCTGCGATGGCCCGGCGCCAAGTCCTTACTGGTGCGTGGTTAGAAAATGAGATCTGAGTTGGTTATCAGCTAGGAGCGGGCTCTGACATCCACCGAATGGTGTCTGTTGGGGCCACATCAGCGTCCTCTTCCTCAAAGTAACCAGCATCGATGGGTTTTGTCCCGCTTGGCTGGTGCGGTGCTGGTTTTGGTCAGAACCATGTTTTGGGGGAAGTTGATTGAATTTTCTACTTTGTCTTAAAGCATCAGGTTTTTTCCTAGGCAGAAAGTTCATCCCCTCTCTACGTGGTGAGCATTTAATTGTGTAAAGCGTGATTGCTCTGCGTGTGATTCGGAATGAAAGGCTTGTAATCGAAAGTGGGCAAAGGCATGAATGAAATTTATCCCTAGGCAAAAAGCACAGCGTGAAGCCACTGCGACGCTGTCTCTTACTTGGGTCCTGTAATGGGGCGTCCAGAAAACTCACCTTTTTCTTACACTTTGTGCTGGTTGTTTAAGTGGAAGTTATTTTTGTCCCCCCCAGTGTGAAAACTTCTATAGAGGTGGTTTTTGACTGGGGGAATTAGGGAATTAGTTGTTGTTTTCCCATTCCTTAGTTATCAAATGCACTAAAGCTCACTTTGTCTTTAATTAAAATGACATGGAGCAGAATTCAAATAAAAGAAAGTCATGATCTCAACGCATGGGTGCTCCTGAAAGTTGCAGTCAAGTAACCAAGCCCAGATTTCCGATGCTCTCTCCTACTTTGCACATCCGATGCCCTGGCTGCTCTCAGAAACCCTGCCTGTGCTCCCACAGACATTTGGCTGGGCAGGTAGAGCAGAGTCAATTAAATCTCCAGCCCAGACTAACAAAACATTTAAAAGTCTGAGTTAATCTTGTCCATTCAGCGGTGCAGCTGGCCGAGAGCTGCTTTGAAAGCCCAATGGATATTGTTTTTCTCAAGCATTAAATGCTTTCCCTCAAACAAACATCCTTTGAATAGGCCATTGTTTTTCCTTCTGGATGTCCCTTTGTGGACTGATACAAGAATAGCTAAAAGCTGATGAATTGGTATTGTGAATTTCTTAAAAAAAAAAAAAAAAAAAAAAAAAAAAAAAAAAGATTTCTGGGACTTCTACTCCTTTGAGAAGTTGAATGTGCTGCAAGTTCTCTGCTTGGGTCCCACATATTGTCCTCCGGAGGTCAGAGAGTTGCATCAGGAGCTTCAGGTGAATCACCTCAAACGATCATAGTTTGAGGGAAGAAGCTTCATGGAGCTGATGCCTTTCCCAGCTGCTATAACGTAAGGAATCAAGGTGTGATAAAGTATAGAGGGGGTGTCAGGGGAAGAAGTAGTCGTTTGGTTGTGACTGGCAAGCCTTTGCATTAACGGATGCAACTGCGTTCCTTTATATTTTTCATTACCACTACGTAGCAATTGTGTCCTGCTCCTTATGAGAAAAAATAAGCATTATGTGAACAACATAACCGATGTTTGGTCACTTCAGAAATCTCATGTGTAAAGAAATCCTCACTTCTTGTCAGGTGAAGATGGCGTGTACAGCTCCCTCAGTTCTTATAACACAGGTAGTGGTGCCCTGCCCAGGATTTACCTCTTTTCCCTATCAGAGCTGTGTTGTTTTATATTCCAAGCCCCGTCAACACAACAGACTGATTTATTCCTTATCGATGGCCAGAGCTGTGAGCTGGAAGGATGCTGTTTTTAACACAGTCCTTGGGCTTCTCTTATTCACCTTTCTCTTTTTTTGTTCAATTTCACCATCACATATTGAAGCTGAATTTAAAAAAAGGTTCACCCTAATCAGTTCCCTAAGAAATGCAAAAAACTTTGATGCTTTATTCTTGTGTTATACCGTAGTGCAGACTGCGTTTGCTTCAGTAGGTCCTCCCGGTTTACAGGGCTGCAATGCAAGATGTTTCAGCCTGGCACGTCTGCAGAAGGAGCTGGGAGGATGTGTGTGTGTCCCACACGTGTGGCCATGCAGGGCAGACATAGGAGGGAGCAGGTGCTGATCCCAAGGTACCGTTTTGCAAGTGTAGTCCTTGAATTTGCAGTAGGCGGTAACGAGCGCCAGGCTGGGTTGGGTCTGAGGTCATGGCAGCGGTCAGCTGTGCTGCCAGGACAGGACAGGGATGTACTGCCCACACAGCCCACGGCTCCCTCCGGAGTGGATCCTCGCCTAGCGAAGCACGCGTTGGAAATCTGAGAGTGAATCAGGCGTCGGAGGGCTTTGCTGACTCACAACCATCGTGCCATGCCTCTTCAGGAGTGCTTTGCAGGGCTGAGCCTTCTTTGGGTTTAAATAAGGAAAGGGTTTAAGTCTTTGGGCAGCAGGTCATGGATCAGTGGAAATGCTGCTCTGGGATGTACTGAAACTGTCGGGTTTTAAACACTTCTTTGCATCCCAAAGTGCCTGTGCTGACAGCAGGGGCAGCTTTGGCTTTGTCTGTGGTCCTTAGAGCACCCGTGCTTCCTCTCCCCACATGCATTCTTTCTGAAAAACAAGGTTTCCTATGGTCCAACACGTTCAGTGGCTTCATGTTAGTTAAGGGCTGTATGCCAAAGACAACGGGGAAATATCCATTTATCGTGTTGATTTACCATGCGCTCCTGCAGCAACCCTAGAAAGGGGGGACCTGGGGAAGAACTGGGGTTGACCAAGTGCTTGATCATGCAAATGCAAGCACGTTCCCAGCTTTGTATCAGTGCACATGAGCAGAACATGTAGTTATCAGCCCGCAGGGCAGATGCGCCCGTTCTTCCTCCACAGCAAGACACCCCTCCTCATCACTGAGACTGGCCATTATGGGCTGAGGGTGATAGCTGATTCCCACATCTTGGGTGAAACGGTAGAGTTTTAGCAAGTCCTTTTGCAAAAACAAAAGGTTCAGATCTGAGGTTGATGTGAAGCACGCCCGGGACCTGCTCAGTTTAAGTAAATCAGGCATGTTTTACCGCTGCTCTTTTAGTCTTTAAAAACCTCAAGGCGTCCCGAGCGCTGTGCTAGAGCAGTGTCACCTTATCCCTGTCACTAATCCTGTCGCTTCCTTTCATGCTCCTTCGTACTCTGCAAATGGTTTGACACCTTTTACTGTACTTCTGTGAAACCTTCCTGCTGGATTGCATGGATGAAGGATTAGGTATACAAGTAACATAGCCAAAGGCTGTACTATACATAAATAGAGCCTCTTTCAGAGCATGACTGATATCGCTATGTTTGTAAATCGATGATTTTTTTTTTTTTTAATAATAATACTGTCTTTTCCTTCCCTTTTCAGGGGCCTCTTGGTTTGGATGGCAAACCAGTAAGTAGCACCGAGTGCCAAATGTAACATGTCTTTATTCACACTGCTCTGTAATAGATAGGCAGAATCTCAACTATTACTCACGTATTACTACATATATAACAGATTAGGAGAAAAAATTGTATTTAGGAAAATGATCCTGTGGTCTGTAGCTCACGCAAGTTTAAATTCTGAGCCAGAACTGGCTGGCACAGCTAGAGGTGAGCTTTTCTTTACCTGTCAGCTCATCTCAGCTGCTTCGCCCCCTCCTGCGCTAGCTCGGCTAGCGGAGACTCTGCAGATGGGCATCAGGCCAAATTTGAGAAATAAACTCCGGTAGCACCTTGGAAGAAGCAAAGTCAGTAATCTTGGTTGCATGCTCCTGGCACTACAAAGTGCTATCATAAAAATAATTGTTCCCAAACTGGGTTCATTTGCCTTCAAAGGAGCCCAGGTGGGAACTGCTTGAGCCAGCCTGGTGTCCATGCAATACTTAGTGGAACAGCCTGGACTTCATTTTATGAGCTGATTTCTTGACTTCATTTTTGCTTGGAAGCCCTTTGGATACTCAGGTGCTCCACTCTTTTCTTACTTATGTTATGCAAACACAGACTTCTTTATTTTTATGCTAGCTGAACACTAGCCAGCTTCTGTTCCTTTGGCTGGACGGTTGCTACAGGAGGTCACCGCTCTGTATTTTGTGTCGAAATCCAACTCTCTCCCACCACGTTCACTAGAGGGCACCATTTGAAATCTTTTCAAGCTCCTGTCCTAAACCAACTGTGATTTTTCGAAGTGGGCAGAAGTTGAAAAGTTACTGCAGGTACTTATTACTTGTCAGTTAGGGAGTGTTGTATTGTAGCTGCACATTGTTGTGGTTGGTTTTTCTCTTATGGCTGAAGATGACAAATGTGAGTAAAGAGAAATCTAGAAACAGAGGAGTGGAAAAGAAAAACAGAAGGCCAGCTCACATCCTGTGCTCAGGGCTTGGCTTTGAATTAACAAAACCCCGTGATGGAAGAGCAGCATAAAGCCCAGCAGCACACTCCTCTGCCCGCTGCCCTCGGCAGGCACGTGGATGCGAACGGCTACGAGTTGTGTGTATGCACCGGGCAGGAGCGAGACCTCTGAGTGAGAGGTGGGGAAAATCTCAACGAAAAAGCAAACTTATCAAATGACCAAACTCAAACCAGGCTGTTCATGATCTCTTCCATGAGAGCAAGGGGCCAGCAGCCTTGCTTAGAGCCAAATTAACAGCAGGAGGGATGTGGCGCAGGGATGCAGATGCTGCCGCTTTTGGCCGCTCTGTTGACCTTCCCCCGTGCAACCCGCCGGGTCCTGCTTCAGCAAACACCATGAATTAGGCTGAACTTCAAGATTCAGTATTTTTCTGTGCTGGAAGAAGGATGTAGAGCAGGCACATCAAAGCGTTGCTCTGTCGCTTCTCTTTGGGGCTGCAGCGTGTCTCTGCCTGCCTGTCTTACAGAAAGCTGCTTAGAGAGAAGATGACTTATGTCTTCAGCAAATAGGCCAAAGAAAGCAGCCCATCCTCCTTGTTTATTTCAAACAGATGTATAATTGTTGTAATGATATGCTGAGCATGTGTTTTTCTAGAAGTGATTTAATACTTCAAGAAATCTTTTGCATCTATTTAGTCACATGTTTGCGAGCGGCTGTCACGCTGCCTGCCCTGCCCCGTCCTCCTCCAGTCCTCTGTCCTGGCAAGAGCAGGCAGGACCTCGGTGCTTTTTTTGGTAGCGTGCTGCTGATGTGAAGCAGTGTATAACTTGAAATAATAGCATGCACGACTTCAAATAATAGCAGACATGAATTGATGAATGCAATCTCCTTGATTTTGATGTTGCGTGCATTGATGATTCTGCTGTTTCGTAACTTAGATCCTTCTTATTTATTTCCAGGGACCTCCAGGACCAAAAGGGGAAAAGGTAAAGACTGCATTAACATGTGGCTTTTGGGGAAGCAGCTGCATGTCCTCTTCCTGCTGTAATAATCTCAGTTCAGGTTATCCCAGTATGCCAGCATGACGTTACCACTGGGTTTTGTGGGGACATGGAGCTGTGACAGCAAGTTCTCAGGTTGCTCTTAGAAAAGCCCTGGGAAGGGGAGGGCAGAAAGAATTTGCAAAAATGTAGGAGGAATAAATGTGATGGCCTTAAAGCTCATCCATGCCATAGGGTTCCCGGTAACGAGAGAGTGGCATACAACTCTCTTCTTGCCTTGCTCCAAGAGCTGGCTGTGGGCTCCCCTGCTCTGTGTTTGCATGACATCCTCCCATGAAATTACAGCAGCTGAAGAAGGTCATTACTGTACTGAAAGTGATGTTAATCCTCGCATGTGTAGGACATAAGCAGTTGCTAGGGGAGCCTTAAGAGTTGGAAACAATCTGCTATTTCTGATTTATTATCTGTTTCATTGCCTGCCAGGGCAGAATCATTCCCTATTGTGTTGTCTTGAGTCCTTCTCCTCCCTGGTTTTGAATACGTTAAGCAATAGGACTCTTGCCACTTCCCTTGTGTGCTGTTCCCACGTCCAGCTGACCCTACGCTCGGTCCTTCGTGGTTGAAATTTGAACTCTAATAGCTGACCCTTGCTGTTTTGCCTGATGAACAGGGTGAAGCAGGGGACATCGGCCCGAGGGTAAGTAGTGACACAGATCACAGTAGTGATTTTTTTATTCTAAAATCAGGTTGGGTTTAGCCACTGCACAAAATAAAGTTTCACGTAGCTTTGTTGCTGCAAAATGAGGTACGGTTAACAGTTCTCAAAATGCTTCGTTTTGCCATTGGAGCTTTTCGTGGTGGTGGTTTTCCTAACTTTGACTGTGGGGAAGTAAGAGTTGAAGACCTTCAGGTACTTTTACTGGACTTTCCTATCCCTGATTCCCTTTTCCAGTGTCAGAGGCAGACTCCATGTTTCTCTCCAAGCTCTGCTCCTTATTTGTTGGCATTCGAGCACCAGTATGTGGTGGGAAGACCTGGTGTCCAGCATGATGTTGCGTAGGATGGAAAGTTCCTCCTCTCTTGCTGAGCTACCCACCTGGAAGTATGGTGGCACGCAGGCGGTATCTAGGCTGCCTTTGAAAATAAAGGGTTTTAAGTAACTATATGATGAGGGGAAAGTGTTTTTGCTATAACATATAGAAATTAATGGACTTTTGTGGAAATGACTTTCATGGGGCTGCATGAAGTTGAGATTTACTGCAGTGTATCAGGATAGGTCCCTACAGGGACAAGGGGCATGTGGCTGTCCCACGGTCCCCGCGGCGGTGCTGGCAGCAGCAGCAGGAGCACAGAGCCTCCCATGTTGGGGATGAGACAGGAGAGCTCGCCACGAGGTGTGGGGTGTTTCCGAGGTGGGCTCTGTCGCAGTAACGGAGGTGTGGTTGACCATGGATTACAGGCACCTGCTGGAAGCCCCCCGGTGGGGATATGCTGGGATGCTGGCATTAGGGCAGATTCAGAGCTGGGGTCCGAGAGTTGGCTGGTCAGTTTGGATGCGGTTGCTGGAAGTGTAGCCAGGACCTCAGTGGTTAACATCGGGCAGAGATGCCTCAGAGAGATTTTCCTTTTTTCCCCTAGAGGCTGTTAAGTCAGTTTTTGAAGTTGGTGTCGTTTTCTGAAGCAGCTCCCAACCACCTTGGATGCCTTCAGAAATGTCACTCTTGGGCTCTGAGAGCCCCTAAAACTTCTCCGATAGATTTATGCCCTGCGTGGCTAAGGAGGGGCTCAGCAAAAGGTCTCAACTTTGTCCAAGTGCCCGCCCATGTACTCAGGAAAGGCTTTAAGAGGTGATTCAGTAGCACATGAGCGTGAGTTTTCACTCCTTGGCCAGGGCTGTGAATGACTGCTGGCTGGCGAGTCGGGTGACGCTGCTTGGGCTCCAAAGCCCCTGCGGTCTGTGCTGCCAAGTAACGCAGAACCCACCTCCTGCCGTGGCTCCTCGTTGCACTGCAGGAGATGCTCTGGGGTTGAGCTCTATCTGGACTCGCAGGGATGAGTGCCAGCTCCCAAGGTAACACTTGTCCTACGTTTTAATCTACTGATCAAAATACATGCTTTTTTTTTTCTCCAGATCTGCATTTGTCCAGCTTTTGCTTTACTTTTATTTATGTCTTTTTGCACAAGAGTAAGAAGGCAGCTCAGAAACAATTTGAGAGGAAAGGAGGAGAAACAAGCCTGGCAGCACCATGCACAATCAGTTCTAACAACTGGTGCCTGGCTTTGAAAATATCTTCCTTTATGTCTTCAGACTCTCGGGGTTCTGGATTGGATATGAAACTTCTTAATACCGTCTGGCCCAGATGATTTTTTTTATTTCCTAGTTTAATCTTTCTTCTTCCTCAAGTTTCAGTAGTGGCTTTGTTTTTAGATGATTTTGAAAGATGTATCGCAGAAAGTCATCGCATCAATGGGAGAATAAATAACTAGGAATATATCCAGTGCTGCCTCCCTCATAAACGTGTGTGTCTATGGACGGTGGAGTGGGGATAGTGTGTGTCAGTGAGCGCGAAAATATCACCATTAGGAATGACAGATTAAAAGAGGTTAATGCTTGGGGTGACTTTGAAGGAACTGGATTAGCTATGGAATAATCTTGTGTGTGCTGCTTCTCTCTGTCTCTAATAAACACCTGCCACCAGCGTGGACCGAAAAAGAGATTATTGCACATCTGAGTGTGCCTAATGCAGATGTTGGAGAGTGATTTTGGAGAGCTGAGGAAGGAGTTCACATTGGGTTGTCTTAGGCACTGAATGGTAGTTCTTGCACACAGCATGGGGGAGACTGTTGTGCAGCCTCACCTAACCAGGATAGGGAATAAACAAAAGCAAATACACTGACAAAATACATATAGGTGTATTCACAGGGAGAAACCAAGAACAGATTCCCTCTGCTCTGGAGAGGAAAGAGGGAGTTGAAGCAGGATGCTGCCAAGGGTGGGACTGCTGTGCTCTGATATTTGTGCCTCTACTTCTCTCTTAAAATCAAATACATCACTACACTTCTGAAAAGGACTGTTTTTATAAACCAGACTCGCTTCCTGAACTGGCACCGGGCTGACCACTCTGGATTTATTACCTTAGCTTGGGTGATCTTGTTCTTACTGACAGTTCAGATGTTCAGACAAGTGATGGGATTGATGAATCTTTGCACATCTGGGCTAGTGGATGCACACCGTCTGTGGCAGCAGGGCCGGGTTTGCTCTCAAGAGGGAGAAAAAGGGCTTCAACTTGTGAGAGAAATGCTCTTGTCTCCAGTGGCCCATGCAGCACGCTCCTGCTCCGCAGCCAGCACCGGTGGAGGTGGCACCAGTAGCATTTGTAGCTGTATCCTCAGCTGCTGTGGGACTAAACAGTAGCGTGGCTGAACTGGCTCTACATTGACAGGCTGGAGTTCCAGCTGCAGATGGAAAAGTAGCTTTTTCTTTTTAACTTTCTGCAAAAATATAAGTGCTTGCCAAGCTCATGCTGTAGATAAAAACTCAGCACAGAAAGAGTTCTGCAGAGCTCACGTTGACAGTCAACAGACACATCTATGGATAATTCTTCTTTTTTTTAAATTTTATTTGCTTGCTTGGTTTGGAACGTTATGTTGAAATGGCTAAATTGAGTACTCTAAAGCTGGAGATTGCCAGTGTTCAAGGTTTCTGTGCTCTAGGACTCCATTGCTACACAGGATCAGACCCAGTGACCAGTTAGCCCAGTGCCCTGTGACCAGATGCACTGGGAGAGTGTAAACATGGAGCAGGAACGTGTAACTCCATCACACAGTTGCTTTTCTGGAGCCTGGTTATCTATGGCCTGGACATTTCTTGGGCCAGAGATAGTGTCTCTGTATTTAATAGCCCTCAGGGCTGTTCAGGTTTCATGGGTCCATCTGTAACAGAGATTGTTTAAAATTAAATCTATGATGACTGGATTTGGTGGGATATGGCGTGTTTGCCCTTGGAGCAAATGCAAATTGTCATTCCACGTTAAAACAGATAGGGCTGCACTTGGAAGGTGTGGATGGTGCTCAGCCATCTGAGGGATAAGAAGAAACTTTAAGTTCCTGTCTGGCTCCTTGGACTTTACTGAAAATCCCACTTAATGCCCTTGTGTATCTTCACGCACATCAAAAGCCATAAAGCCTAGGTCCTTTGGGACTGCCCCGAACCCCTTTGTTCTCAGTAGAGCCTTTTTGGTGGTTCCTGTAGTATCTGGATGGCCTGGCCAAGTGCAAGGGCTCTGTGTCCCCATGAACTTCAATGTGGCATCATCTTGGGCTTTTGAAGTCTCAGGATTTCAGCATTGTTCCTCCCCAGAATGCTTGTATTCAAGTGAGGGTTGAGCTAAAGCCTCTCTCTACAGCTTGAAAAAAAAAATCCTTGGGAGGGGTTTATTTTCCAGGGTTGACTAGTTTTTTTTCTATCTGATTTTGGTTTTCTCCTCCCTTTCTGAGATGACTGTGTTAAAACATCAGTGCTTTGACGTATCTGTGCATGCCTCCTGCTAAGCCTGTCCTGAGAGGGTGGGCAGGAGGTGGCCTTGCCTATGCAATATTTACCCCAAAACTGAGTTTCAGGATTATCTGTTATTTGTGTGAAAGGTTTAAAGGCTTCCTGGGCAATTTGGAAAAGGTTTTTTTTCCTATAGAAACCCTCCGAAACCCTTATGGAGGATGTGCTGTGTGTTCCCACGGGGTTTCTCATGGCTTTGCTCCATCCCTTCGGTCCTTCTATGGAGTGTGCAGGGATGGACGGGGGAAAGGGAGACGCAAGCAGTGTCCTGAGAAAGGAAATGTCTTACTGCTTCTCCCTAGATAGATAAGTGGCAAGGCTAAAAGACAATAGCAATGGCTACTGACATGGTCTGAATACATTGTTTTTGCATCGTATAAATCTGAGAGATTTATCTGCATTTTGCAGGCTGGGGAGTACATCAGTGTTCATTTTAGCCTCTGAAAAAAAAAAATATAATATTTGGTCTCAGGAGAAATGCTGGGATATATACCCTGTGGGGTTTACTGGAATAATGCTCTTTATTCTGCAGAAAGCCCTGCAGTAGGGGAATCCTCTGTACCCCAGCTGCTTTGAATGTCCTATTGTGCAGTAAACTAATGACAAGATACTTGTTTTCCCTTTGTCTGTTTACTGCTTAGCAAGCTCCAGAGTATCCAGAATATCAGAACAAACCCCTGTTGGCTACCTAGGTTATTTCCTCTCCGTGCATCAATTAATTATCGAATTAAAATTGTTATACATTGTTACAGCCTTTAAAACTCATTCTGCTGCTGTGCTTTCATCTTAAACTCTTGCTCTTTCCTCCTCTGCCTCCCACTTCACCTGGCTAGATGGTTTTTCCCCAGCTCAATCATGGATTTCTGGCTAACGATCAGCTCGTCTTTAGCCGACGAGTGCTCAAGGTAGATGTATCAGATCTGCTGCTTCTGGCTTGCTGTGATTCTTCGAGTTGCTTTTGTTTTGGTTTTTTTTTTTTCTGGCTGATAGCGCACTATTGCTATTTGAATTGTCACAACCGTGGCTTCACGCTTGAGTGAAACCCCATTGGAAATTAGGGAGAGTTTTTTCAAAGGAGACATAAAATGGATGGGGTTTAGGATTGTGGGAATTTTTAGGATTGTAGGAAGGGGGCATCAAGCAGCAAAGTCCTGTAAAAGTTCATATGAACAGTGCTGGTATTGTCAATAAAGTGCATTATAACTAGTGCTGTCTAAATCCATGTATGCTAAACGTGATGTTTTAATTAGGCAAAATTCAGTGGGAGACTCTTGACATAATTGGATGCAGTGTTCAGCATTTGCAATAGGACTTTTTTAAAAACCATGCAAGTGATTTAGGAGCACAGATCTTGTCGAAAGGCCGTGGGATTTGTGCTGCTAAGTCACTTAAGGACTTCTGAAAAATCCCACACTTGTCCCCGATTTGAGGGTGGACCACATATTAAATACAGCCGTCGTGCTGCCTCGGTGGTAACCCTTCCAGATGTTGCTAGAAGATTTACGAGATAGCCTTTCTGTGAGGCTTTCCATTGTGCACACACATGGATGTGCCCGGCCACAGCCCCGGGGCTGGGCGGTGGTGGCTGGCGGGGGGTCGGGGGCTGATAACTGGGTGATGGAGCCCTGTGGGGTGCTCCCCGCACCCCCCGCCCCGGAGTGGGCACCTACCAGATCTTCACAATCACATGAGATACAGCTGCTGCTTTTTTCTTTGCATCCAAGCAATGTCAAGTATGAGCTATGCTGGATGTTAATGTATGACCTTGGCTGTATTTAAATGATACTACTAAGTACTACTTTTTTGTTGTTGTTGTTGTTGTTGTTGTGGTCACTAAGCTATGGAAGTGTGTGCATGCTCTGTGCCAGCATGATGTTGGGTCTGAGTTAGTTCTGGGTACTGTCGAATTGGTGTTTCCCATGCAGACAGTCACTGGGCAAGCACTTAATGATATAAAACCTTGTTGGAAGGCATTGAGCAAAATCCTGGTTCAGAAACCAGACCCAAAGGGCGTGAAGCAGCCATGAGCTCCCAGCCTTCCCAACTGGTAGCTGTAATTAATTTTTTCCAGGACAGCGAAGGCCCAGGGTGCTGATGGCAGAGGGATGCCATGCCTGTGCTGCAGGCATCCCGCTGCCACGGCTTGCCAATGCCACTTCGTCTCACCGTGTCTGTGTGAACTTCTTCCAGGGCGATCAAGGTCGAGATGGAGCCACTGGCCCTCCTGGTCCGCCAGGACCCCCAGGTGCCCGGGGGCCTCCTGGTGACACGGGAAAAGATGGCCCAAGAGGACCTTCAGGCCCCCCTGTAAGGATGGGAGATGCACAGCGAGCACAGGCCAGGCACTTCCCACCCCAGTGAGGGAGAGGAGGGTGAAGGGGGTGTCCCCTTCCCTGGTGCTGCCACCCCAACTGCTGGGTCCCCAGCCTGAGCCAGCGGTTGGGCCCTGACGGCTGCTCCTACAGCAAAGCTTTGGGGCATGGGGACAGGGGAGCAGGAGGGAAACTTCCATCTTCAGTTTTAGAGCAAAGAGCTAGACTTGGAGCACCTATTTGCAGGTGCTGGTTGTAACTCAGAGAGCCCAGAGCTCTCTCCGTTGATCTCTAGCCTTCAGATGACCTGTTGCAAATATCCAGATCACTGGCAATTTATTTAATTCAAAAAATAGGCTAAAATGCAATGTTGCTGAACATTCTAATTATTGCTGAGCATTTTGAAGAATGAGGGGTAATAGTTTCAACGCTGGCCTTTTTATTTTTTTGCAGGGTTTCAAAGGCGAGCCAGGAGAGGATGGCCCTGTGGTTAGTATTGCCCAGCAGCATCTGTGCCCCCCCTCACTTCACATCGTGTTTCAGCTCACTGCAGCAAGTGGTTTTGTGTCATTGCCTATAGAGGCCAAGAAAAAAAAACCTCATGGGAAATTACAGATGCCCTAAAATGGATGTTTGTCCAGGGGTACCTGTGCCCTGGGGAGAAGAGAGGTCAGTCTTTGTCCCCTTGGTTCCTCTGAGGGATGTGCTGCTCCTGTGTCCCCACTTCTGCGCCCCTGAAGCCTCCTGGCATTCTAACTCCAATCTACTAAGGTCTAGGTTGGAGAAAAAGGTGCTTATAATACATAAAAATACATAAGCTGTAGAAGAATATTTATTACTTACTTGGGAGCATAGAGAACTTATGGCTGCATTTGTAAGGGAAGACGAGAAGTTGGCATCTGTGTAATTTTTTTTTTTTTCATGGGAATGAAAGTACTCTTGGAAATGCTTTTATCCTGTTATACTCTATTGTCAAACAAGTATATCAACTACTCTTACATTCAACAGGGTGCCAGGGGACCTCCAGGACCAAAGGTAGGTAATAAGTAATTTTTTATCTGTCTAATTTTAATATGAATTCTTGAAATATTGCTGCATAAGGGGAGTGGAGATGAATATACATATTTTGCACTGGACTTTCATCTATATATATGTATTAGATACAAGGTTTCTAAGGTTTTGTGTTAGCCATTGACTTGGAGCTGCAAATATCTGAATTGTCTGTTCAATATTACAACCGCTGCCTGTGCTGGTACCTTGAAATGGGGGTGAGGGAGCCACGGGGAGCTGGAAGCTGGTGTGCTTGGCTATGTGCTTTCTTGCATTTTGGTGGGGATAAAGATGATCAACACAAGCCAAATATTTTAATTTTACAATTAATTTTGAGTATCCATAGATTTGGTCTTATTTATTATGTTCCTAAACTACTTCTTTCTCTGTGTTTGTTGCTGTTGAAGGGTGAGACTGGCATCCAAGGGAAAAAGGTAAAATTGTGTACATTTCTTAATTGTTTTGCTTGATGCTTGACTAGGGAAACTATTGCCAGAGAGTGATGGAGAAGCCATGGTCATCCTGAGCCCTTCCTTGTGTTCCCTGGGGTTTCTTGCCCATGTGACCCTGAAGCATGGGCACAGCTGTGTCTGCAGCCTGGTTTTCATTACGGCAAGCAAGCCAGAAGCTGCAATCACATCTGCCCAATAGACAAAGAATAAAATAGCAAATGCCAAACAAAGCAGTAGGTCTTGAGCCCTTTCACTCCAATAATTCAAGCTGAACTGGGAAGTGCCTGGAGGCTGTTATCTGCCCAGGGTCCCTGGGATGGGTTTGGGGTTCCTGGGCCGGGCATCGCTGCACAGTACCTCGGTCTCATGGGGATTGCCCACTCTCTTAAGGACAGGCACACTGCTTGGGTTGGGCATTGAAGACTGTGGAAGATTCATGTGTCCAAGCTCCCTACGTTTTCTTCTGGTGGTGCCATCAAGTAGCGGATAAATCACTGCCTTTAGCTGGTGCCAAAGCGCTGACAGGGCTCAGCCTTTCCCTCTTACTGTTTTGCCCCCAAACAGACATGGCCACGGATGTTTTTCAGGCTAGAATTTGCCTTAAAAAAATCCATAACTGGGCCAGCAAAGTTGCCCTCTTCAGGAGAACCACAAAGCATGACAAATGAAACAAGAAAAATCTCCTCCTGGCAGATGGGCACACTGATGACTTGCAGTGTAGGCCATGAGAATGGGTGGCAGCTTGCAGGAGGTCTTTGGGACACAAAAAGCTTAAATGGATTAAATATTTAATTGCTGTTAGAGGTGAGAGAACACCTTTCCCAGGGCCTGCTGTAAGCAAACTCTGGGAGATGCCCATCCACCTCCCCAGAAGCAGGGGAGGCAGAGGCAGAGCTGGGTGGGAGCAGGGGGCCACGCTGGAGCCTCCTGGGCTGCAGCTTTCTCCCAGCCTCCTGCAAACCCGAGTGGGTCTGAGGTCTGTGTAACACTCAGCGGCTTCCAGTAATGTGTTGGATCCTAATGATAAGTGTGTGCAAGCTCTTTGTATTTTGCTTTTTGTATTTTATTTCATCAGGGTGATGATGGGATCCCTGGGGAACCAGGACTTATGGGCCCTAAGGTATGTTCTGCTCTGTGCCCATCTGACGTACGTGCTTGGCAGCATCTTTTGCTGTCTGGTTTCTTGGCACATTATCACGGTTGGGGCAGGTTGAGAAGCGCATTTCTCCCCTGATGTGGAAAAGAATGAAAAAAAAAAAAGAGAAAGAGAAGCATAACCCACCCCTCTGCCACGGTAGCTCTACCCAGAAGACATCTGCAAACACAACTTGTTGACTGTGGCAGAGAATTGCCATGTAGAGGCTTCTCTCACAGAAGCAAACTGGGGAGTGTTGCTGGGGGTGGCCCAGGGCTGAGGTTCAGGATGTGGGTTTGCACTGCCCAGATCAGGGTGCAGCGGGCTCTCCTATGGTTTTGGGGCTGAACACACCACCTTCAGCCAAACTGGTAAGCCTGAAATCTTCATTTTTATCTTAAAACTCCCTTTTTGCACCTAGGCAACACAACACATTTCAGGCTAAAAGCAGAGCTTTGCTCACTCCTGTATGTAAAAGTAAAGATAAAGCGAGAAACTTCTAACCTGAAGAAATATGTTTTCCATCCTAGCATGTGTCTAAATTGTCATGTTTTCAGGGAGAAAAAGGAAGCGTGGGTCCCAAGGGAGAGAATGGCACAGATGGCTTGCCAGGACCCAAGGTAAATGAAAGTCCATTAGCAAGGAGCTGGACACAGCTCTGTTGAGGAACAGGATTTCAGCTGAGCAGGTGTTTTAGGCCTTTGCCTTCTAAAAGGCTCATAAAACGCCCAAATTGAAACAAAACAGAGGGATGTTAAGAAGTATTTTCCCTTTTCCTGGCGATTTAATGAAAGCTGGATTCAAGCAGAGATCAATATGAGTTTTTAGAATAGTCTCCTGGCATGGTTTTCATTGAATTGCCTCTTTCTCCCCGAGAGAGCTAAACCTCTGATCGCATTTTCATCTGATGCACTGGTGGCTGTGGTGTCGCTTCAAAGCCCAGAGCACTTATGTGCCGTCCGGTCCCAGTGACCTTCGTAACTGCCAAGAAATGCAATAAGACAGTCTTGATATGTTAAGTGGTGATGATGAGAACCGGACAGCATTTGCGGGCCGTTATTCCTCTCCTCAGCTGCTTCTTATTTAGTAGGATCTGTATCCAGTTGTGTTTTCTATATCAAACAGCCATGGCTTCTTGTTGGGAAAGAAACTGTATAGGATGAAGAAATGTGGGCTCAGGTGACCCATAGCCATATTTATTTTTTTTTCTAAAACCATAGTAGCAGTGCTGGCTTTTTCCCCTGGGATCTGCTGAATTGAGTTTTCCTATGGACAGTCTTTGTGTTTATACCATTTTTTATTTTCGGAGGGCTTTAATTTGGCCAGCAAATGGATTTCTATGGGTATGGCAAAAGGTATATTTTTGAATCTTAAACTGAATTTCAAGTCACTTGCTGTGAGTGTACTACAGCTTTCCAAAAACTTTCCAACTTTCAAAAAAAACCAAAGGGAGGGGCAGGGGGAGGAGATTTGGCATGGCCCTTTTCCTTAAACTCACCCTCAAAAATGGTTTAAATGTGTCCGCTGAATTTTCCACATGCAAAATTCAGCCTAAAGCAAAGAGAGAGACATGTGGAACTTCAGCACAAAGAGAAGGGAGCTTGGCAGGCTCAGAGTGGAGTGTGGAGCTGGAGAGTGGCACAGCACATCCCGATACGGGGAGCTCAGCCCCGAGCGGGCTGCTCTGCTCCCTCTGCGATGGGACGTTTTCTTGCTGTCAGCTAGCTCACACCAACATTCTTTTTTTGCAAAATATATTTGATCTGAAGTCAAATCTATGTTTTCACTAGGAAAAGCAGTTCCTTGTTGGTGCCATACTTTACCTTAATCCAAAACATACCTTGGCATCTCAAGCAGTTACAATATTTTTAAGATAAATATCCTATATTTTCCTTGGTCTCTTTCAACCAAAAATGTGATTTTGATTTTCAGGGTGAACCTGGTGAAAAGGGAGGAATTGGCTCCATCGGACCCCGGGTATGGATGTTCAGGGTTTTGCTTTTTCAGTTTGGAGTCACGTATTTGTCTTGACCTGAGCTGTTCCCCACCAGCTCTTTCTGTGTAGTATGTGGTTGAATTGCTTCAGAATCAGTTCAGTGCTAGAAAAATAGAGATGGTGCATATTTAAACAAAGCTTTATGTAGGTACTGATTGCTGCCACAGGAGATAGCTCTGGGAAATGCAGTCAAGTCCAATTTTCTTATCAATATGACCATCCTGTGACTTTTTTTTTTTTCCCCCCAAGAAGGAAGCTGTGAATAGGCGCAATCAAGTGAGGATTTCTATGCACTTCTCTGTTACACAAATTTATGCCCTTTTGAGGCTTGGTTGGATGACAGTTACAGCTGTCAAACTAGGAATTGATTAAATCAATGGTGTTTGTAAGGTGATAATCCCCCAACACCTGGGTGTCAGGTCTTTGCTTTCGTACCACATGCTTCTCAGATGCTGCAAAAACTACATAGGATTTGTCCCCGCTTGTAGGGTCCCCCCGGCCTGAAAGGGGAACAGGGTGACACTGTAGTGATCGACTATGACGGCCGAATCCTGGACGCGCTCAAGGTAAGCCAAGGCCGTGTCGGTTCCTGTGGGTTAATGGGGAAGGACTGAAAACTGCTGAGCTCTGCCATGGTGATGTTGTGGCACCTTGTCTGTCCCTTTCCTACTTCTTCCCAAGATCTCAGTCTCAGCACAAAGCTGGCCGGGAGGGGAATTGCTTATTGCATCTGTGGGCTGAGGATATTTGGGGAGTACCAGCAAAAACGGTGGCAAAACATGAGGCTGTAAACTCAGGCTCAGTCTTGTGGGATTGAGCTGTGGCATGCGAGTTAATATTCTGCAGGTAAAAGCAACCTGACGCAGCCCACGATGTATGAAAAGCTGATGCAGTGAGTGTGAGCAGCCGAATGACTGCGGGCTGCGGGGTGTTGTTGCCACGGCGTGGTGCAGAGGTGTTCACTGCGCATCCTCTGGGGTGTTTTCTCTGCGAGCAGCGGTCAGGATGCAGGAGGAAGGGAAACGGTGCCCGAGCCCTAACCTGCCCCACCGAGCAGTGCCCTGCCATTTTCATTGTGACGAAAGAAGCCAAATAGAATAAATACTTAATTACAGACACATTTGAGAACCATCCTAATTGTTTTATCACAGGCTGCAGGGATACACAAAGTGGTGGTAATTACTGTTTGCTAGACCTGCACGGCATGCAGCTTTGAGTGGGCTTTGTGGAGTGTGGTGGTGGGAGAGAGGCTCTGTCAGACGTCTGGAGGCTTCATCTGCTGGGCGCAGACCTTGTCCTGTGTGCTGCACGCAGACTGCCAAGGAACGTGGCACTGAACCTCGCCACCTTTGCCGTTTTCCTGCTTATTAGCTGTTTTCGGTGTTTGCGCACTGAACCCATCTCACGGACAGAGCTTTGGCTTTGCACGGCCTCCAGAGTGATTACATGGAACAGTGTTTGAGCATGCACTTGTGGAAAAAGGTGCTTGAGAATGTGACACAGTTTTGGTTTTCAGCTTTGTGAGACCGTGAGTTTTGCTGTTCGAGATAATTTGCAAGTTGCAAAATATTTGTTCCTCTCAAGGCAGTTCACTGTCTCTGCACCCAGCAGTGCCCAGGAAAAACAGTTTATTTAAGTGTGCAAGGTTTTCCTGCTGTTAGTGCTCACACAAACCCCTTCGTTTTCCCTCTTTAATTGCACCTCCCCAGCTGGTTGTCGCTGTTTTTAGCAGGATGCTTTTCCCCAGGCCAGATTGTTGGAGGGGGGAGAATGCAAGAAGAGATCACCAGATTTGGGGTCACACCTCTGGCTAAAGGCATTTTGCCTCATAACACCCGTACTGCTGCACCTGTGTACCCACCTAGCACTGGCTGTGTTCTTTTGCATGAACATCCCCTGTGCCAGAGGGGCCCTCTGGTCCCTTTGTGTCCTCTGAGCTCGTCGTAGCGTTTGGGCAACCCCAGTCACACCAGTGGCTGTTGTAGATCACAGCTGAGAGCTGCTCCCAGCTCATCCCCAAGAGCATGAGGGTTGTGTGCCATATTTGCATTAGTCATGCTCGTGTCTGGTCTGTTTGCTGTGTTTCAGGGTTCACCGGGTCCCCCAGGGCCACCAGGCCCCCAAGGTGCTCCAGGTCCCAAGGTGAGCCCAACACAGTGTTTCCTAGAGAGCGACGTGGCCGTTAGCAGCTTTCCATGTAGCAAGTGTTTCCCAAGCCAGAATAAGGCAGGTGATGCTAGCTATGGGGCTTGAGGCTACTACGTGTGGTAAAGGAAATATTATTTAATGCTTTCTCAAGCTGAAAATGGAAGTTTTCACCCAAAAGTCAACGTTTTGTTAACCTGTCTCTGGTCTCCAACATCTTCTGGAGGATGCTGTCCCAGAAACAAATCCACTCCCAGTCCCACACCTGATGGATGAAATCCCAGCTCCTCTGAGGTTTCCTCATGGCATGTGGCAAGAGGCAGAAGTAAATGGGAGCAGCAGTTGTGAGGAGGGGCTGGCAGTCCCTAAAGCTGTGCTGAGCCGCCCTCCATCCCACCCTCCCCACGTGCTGCCCCGGCACCCTGTCCGAGCAGGACTGCTCTGTCCTGCTTCACAAGCAATAGCCAGTAACCTACAGTCAGCCTGTAGTTTCCATGAGAGAAGAATTCAACCTACAGAAAAATGTTTCTCAGAAGAACAGCATGTGGCAGGATTTTGGTGCCTCTCGAGGTCTCAGTGTCACCCAAATTCAGCCGAGCCGGTGATGCTGGCACATCACTGAAACCTCTTTGCTGCTGCTCCTGAGCCTGGCAATGGTAAACCCACAACCACAACAGCTGATGCACATGAAAAAACTCATTTCCTTTAAAATTTTTTTTTTTTGAGATGATTTCCTGATTTAATTTACCGTGGACTCCCCTTTCTTTATGTTGCTTCAGGGAGAGCTGGGCTTACCGGGTCCACCTGGACTAGATGGCGAAAAGGTGCGTGGGGCACGGCTGGATCGAGCGAGACCTTGTGGGAGCCGAGTTAAAATGGAGTTTACTTGTGTGTCCGTGAGAGCTGTCACCATGAAAAGCAAATCTCGGCCTGCCAGGAGCAAGCTCTGTGCCATAATGTCCCTGAATTAACTGCCCTTCGCCTGTGGCCCCAAGCTCAGCCATGAGCACGCAGATGCTGCTCGCGGCCACATCTGCCGAGTTAAAGGGACTCCTTTTACGAGTGGTTCCTCAGACACTGCCTCAAATTTTGTCGTAAACCTTCCCAACCCTAAATGACTGCAATCCCTGCCAAATTCTGCTGCGCCCGCAAAATTGGCATGTGTAAATTTTAATGTTAAAACATGTTTTTTGTGAGCTCGTGCTGTGACATGGGGAGGAACAGTGGAAAGGCAGAAATGGTTGTTGTGCGGGAGTGATTTAACAGTTTTAAGTTGTTTTCTGTAAACTTCCAGGGTCCCAAAGGAGCAAAGGGTGACCAGGGCAGTACAGGGGTCACAGGACAGAAAGGAGAGACGGGAGAAATGGGCTTAACGGGTCCACCGGTACGTCCCTCTTTCTGTCTTTGTATGTCTGCTGCTGTGTTCTTTAATATATCAGTTTGTGCCGATGGTCAGAATATGGCCAGGTTTGCTGATTTAAGCAATGGCCCGTCCACACCGTGTTACTGCGGAGCTGGAGGATGCGGGAGCTTTGAATTTTCTTTGCTACCGATGTTAACGGCTTGTTCAGAAGGCTACCTAAGCTGGTAGCAAGGCGGAGAAAATCTTTTCTCAGGGTCCCCAGAGGATGAACATAAGCTTTGCTTGATCCAAGGCTGGAGTTTAGAGAAAGACAAATGTTTGGGTTTTTTTTCTCTTGTTTTTGCTTTCCTGGAAGATGCACCACATCAGCGTTATATTTTTATCTTTTAGGGAGCAGAAGGGCCAAAAGGAGACAAAGGAGAAAAAGGAGACACCGGGTCACCGTGTTTGCAGAATAATCACGTAAGATCTTGGCCATGTAAAGCCTCTTCCATGATTCATGATTGGGCAAAATTGGGGTGTGCAGGCGGGAGCCACTGGTTCTGTATCCATCAGTGTAGCAGAGGGGAGCAAAACCCAACTCCTTCCTGCAAGAACTTGTGTCTGAATGAGGTTTATTCGTTAGGGCAGAACATTTTGTACACCTGGCACCACCAAGCTCCTTTAGATTTTTGCATTTATGGTTGAGGTATTGGATACTGCCATTAAAATTACAGATTGTTCTAAAAACATAATTGGGCTCCTTGCAGTTTTATAGGATTTCTGCATCCTTTTCTCCTTATTCTCACCTTTTGCTTAAAAAAAAAAAAAAAAGGTGGGTTTTTATAGTTTTTTATCGATGAGAGCTCAAATCTGTTGGGGTTTTTTGTTGTGGTTTTTTTTTTTTCCAATTTAAAAAAAAGACTGGCTTCCTCCAGTCTGTGAAGAAAATTCCTTTTTTTCCTGTTACATTCATTTTGCAGCTAGCAAGTGCCCTGAGTAACATGGGTCACACCTCCCATTTCAGAGAGAGATTCATCTACTAATCTAGATTCATCTACTTATTAAGATTCAGTTATTTATAAATCTTACAAGCAATTAATTAGCAGATATTTTTATTAAAGCCATTACATCAGAGAGCATCAAATCATGATTCTGGGCCACGTGAGGTTTCCATTCTGTCTTCTCTCTGCTCAGTCCCGTTAATGTGGTGTTTAATTCCCTTCTGCAGATCATACCTGAGCCTGGACCCCCCGGATTACCTGGCCCTATGGTAGGACTCTGGAAAAGCGGCTTGTGATGCAGATTTGTCATCACATGGGATTAGTTAAGGATGAGGGTGGTTTTCTCTGCTTAATCGCTGTGGGCTGCTGTGAATCTGAGGAAAAATTCAGGGAAAAGCTACAGTGTTGGGTGCTGTCTCTGGATCCAGAGATGGATGCACCCGATCTAGGAAGGTGTCAGCATTTGTGACATGTTTTGCAAATATCCAAGTTGGTCCCTGGAGTGGGGAAAAGATAAAATCTTATGGGATGGGAAAACCTGTTTCCCCCCATGATGGTGCCTGTATTCCCACAAATTTGCCCAAGTTGCTCTATTTTTGCCATCAATAGCAGCAGGAGAGGAAGCAGGTGGTGAGGAGCAGGCTGAGCATTTCTGATGCAGATCCCCACGTTGTTTAGTACCGATGATGTTCCAAAAGGCTGAGGAGCTGTCAAGGGCATCAAGAAGGTCTGGATGCCTCTGATGTGTCTAAGGCGCATCTTCAGAGACTGCACTTCAAAACCAGGTGGCTTTCCAGGCAGCGTTTATAACCCGGGAAGCACCCCTGGCCCTGCCTGGGCTCGGAGGGCCGCAGTGGCAGGGTGCTGCCCTCCGGAGCTGGCAAAGCTCCTGCAGCACTCGCTCCCCAAGGCTCCTGTTGCAGAGCTTTATTGTTGCAAGTTACGCAAAGCAGTCCTTTTTCAGCTCCTCTCCCCCCCGATTTGACGTCGGAGAGCCAAATAAACTGCCACCTGTCTTGAAAAGAAATACTTGGCCATTGTCAGCCCATAATTTGAGCAAGAAATGTTTTGGGAAGTGAACTTCGGGGTTTGGTTTTAAATTCTGTTTTTTCAAGTGCACCATTGTCTTTCCTGCAGGGTCCTCCAGGAATCCAGGGGCCTAAAGTAAGTCAGTAAATTAAATGTCACCCACTGTTTTCAGGCTGACAGTGCATTATTTACAGGCTCACAAAGGCCTGTTGGCTCTGGGGACTGATTTTTTTGTCACTGTTTGTGACAACACATCCCTTGGTTGTGCTGTTCAGCAGTTGGCGTTTTGGAAAACAAGCCATTTTTTCTTCCAAACATATTTACAACTTTTAGATCTTCCTCCAGCACGGAGTCCTGAGGGCCAGCGGCACATGCAGGGTTTCCAAACACACAGGGTTAAACCTCTATTTTCAACTGTTTTCTTATATGGTCCGTTCAAGAGGAAAACCTTAACAGCAGCACGGGTTTAAGCATCCCAGAGATGTGGTAGGAGGCGATGGATGCGCAGGGTGGCTGTCCTGGGCAGAGCTGCCAGGTCTTCTTGGTTGATGCCATTTCATTTACGCAGGGCTTGGATGGTGCAAAGGGAGAAAAAGGTGACACCGGTGAAAAGGGGGACCACGGCGATGCTGGACCCGTTGTGAGTCATTTTCCCATGTCTCATTTCTGGCTGTTGATAGAAACCTGCCTTAGAGCAACTGTCCCAATGCCTTGTTTCATTTTTTTCTTTAAGGGTCTCCCGGGTGCTCCAGGTCTCATCGGTTTACCCGGTACCAAAGGAGAGAAGGTAATCATCAGTGTTGGAAAGGAGCATTGATGTTGTGGTGTAATCCTAAAATAAGGGTTGTAAAATCCTGCCACGGTGGGTCCAGCCAGAACTGCAGAGCTGAGCTTACCAGCACTATCCTGATGTGGGATGAGGAGCTCCCCTCAAGCCCCAGGGGCTGTCAGGTGAACCTGTGCTCTCACTACTGTATTTCACCAACTGGGCACAAGTTCGCCTGCAACATCAAACTCAATATGGCATGTCTTAATTTTTATTTTTACAACTGCAGGGAAAGCCAGGGGAGCCAGGATTGGATGTGAGTATGGAAAACATGAATTGTGAATATGTAGAAACATGAACAACATGCATGTAAAGGCCATCAAATTGCTCAAGATTGTCAGAAAAATATGCAGCTAACACTGTATAGGCTACTTTCCCTTAAACATGGAGCCTGTGGAACAATGTCTGTAGGAGAGGGCTTAATTCAGGCCAGTTGCCGGACTGCTTCCACCGCACAGCAGTGACTGCTCAGCTAAAGATGCCGTGGGGGTTTTCCTTTCCAATTGAGAATATTTGTATTGGATTCAGTGAAACGAGTATTCCTCATAGCTGTAACGTTAATGGGGTATGGTAAAGCACTAGCTTTCCCAAGAAATTGTTGACATACCAAGTCAACAGGAAGAAAATGTCATATTCTTCACGGGAGGACGGGTTGATTGCTGGTATTTGCTTATGTTGAACTGAGATGCCGGGATGTTTGCATGGTAAACTTAAAAACCTCCTTTTGTCTCCCCCCCACAATTGTCATGATAGGGTTTCCCAGGTCTTAGAGGAGAGAAAGGAGAGAGAAGTGAAAGAGGCGAGAAGGTGAGTGTGCTATGGCTGTGGAGATGCTCGTGGGGGCAGGACTGGCTGCTCTTTTTTGGCAGGCAGTGATGCCCTGGGTGCTGGCTCCCTCTCCAGCCTGGCAGCGTTCCTCAGGTCACTGCTGTAAGGCCTTTTCTGGGGCACAAGTATTTGCATGGTCTCAGTGTAGGCAGGACACGCAGTAAATTCCGACTCACTTGGAAGTGCTTTCTGCAAGCCTGTCCCCCACCAGCACAACCATTGTGGGAAAACGGAGCAGTCTGACACCTCCAGGTTGTAAAGAATTGCTGGTTTTGGTTTATAGACCTTGAAAATGGATCCAAGTCAAAAGTTTTATTACCAGGATCCTTAAATAAAGGGGGAGGGTGCCCAGCTGGAGGCAGGAGCCCAGCTGAGTGCAGGGCAGTGGCTGGAAGCTGGTGTTCCCACTTACTGTCAGATACCAGCCTGGTTTCTAACAGAAACCAGTCATTTAGTTACTCTGTTATAAAATAATCTATTAAAATATCTCTACCTAGCTTTGACTGAAGATTTTCACAGTGATTTAATTAGCTGAGGTTATACTAGTGCAAATGCCCCTACGCTGGGTGAGGTGTGGGACTCTGCAAGTGCTCTGTGATTTTAAAGCCAAGGTGTTTCCCCTCCCGTTCCTGATGTTTTCCTGATGTACCAACAGGGTGAGCGAGGAATACCGGGGAGAAAAGGAGCCAAAGGGCAGAAGGGGGAACCAGGCCCTCCCGGACTGGATCAGCCTTGTCCCGTGGTACGTCTCTTATTTCACTCATCTGAGCGCGTGTCGCTGGGACTGAAAAGGAGATGCAGTTTTGCAGCCAGGGAAAGGGAGGGAGGATTTGGTAGTTCTTTATTTTGCAGTAAATCAGAGCAGATGGTTATTGTTTTCTCACTTTTCTTAATGGTTTGTTTTATCTGCACTGCTGGAAGTTCACTGCTCGCTGTAAGGGCTCCTCACTGGCCAGATGGGAGCAAGCCACAGCAGTAAAAATAAAAAAGTCTTTGTGTAAAGACCTTCTTATTGTAGTCAGGAACAATGGGCTTCAGTAACCCTCTTCGGGAGATAGCGTGCCCCGGTGAAGCTGCCGGCCTGGCTTTTGAGTACATTTGAAATCAGGGAGTAACTCAATGCAGAGGATGGGAGGCGCTTTGAAAACAAGGTCAGCTCCATCCCTTCACCTCTGCAAACTGAGCGAGGGATGAGCCTGGCATGGATGAGCTCCTGCATGGGAGAGCAGAGTTGATAGCATCTTAGTACTGCCAAAGATAAGTGAGGTATGAGCTGGAGCTCCCCAGGCTGCCAAGAAACGCCTCTGGGAGAAGAGACCTCTCTGTGTTTCTCTGCCCGAGACAGCAGCTCGCAGCTCAGATCTGCCCTTTCTCAGATGCATCCTGGGGCACCGTGCAGCATGTACACAAAAAGGCCCTCCAGGAAACCTCCTGGGTGTTTGAGCCATGGATCTCCCAAGTCCACTTCCAGAATCTCTCATTCCTTTGATAGGGCTGAGAGAGTAAAAAAAAAAAAAAATCTATAGTGGTTTGTAAGAAGTTATTTGGCCTAGTAAAATTTACCTTCCTTTTCATTATTATTTTTCATATAATGACTAAAACCAGAGAGAAGCCTTCCCTAAAATGCTTTGAGCCTGCAGGATGAAGAGTGATTTGTATCAACTGCTGAACTGAAATGTACTTAAAAGCTGCTTAAGTGTAGCTTAGACCTTAGTTCAGAGGCACCTAACTGGTAGTGCCATGTACCTGCTCCAACAACCCATTTCTTGTGTAAGTGTGTGACTTTTCCTCACCCTGCCAGCACAGCTATGGCAATCAAAGCTGTCATATGGCTCCACCATACCACCAAAAATCTCCTTTATTTTGCTTGGAGATTGTGAATGTGAGCTACAATTAATTTTTCCATTCCTGATGGATCGCTTTTCCTCCCTCAACATGCTGACGGTCTTTTTCACTGCACTGTGACAAACGTGAATCTCTGGTTCGTGTATGAGAAGATCTTTCCCAGATGACAGACTCTATGTGTCTGTGAATTCCCTACCATAAAACCACTCTGCTGACTTGCTGTGTCATCAGAAATGGAGTTCTGGACCTGTCCTCCTCCTCCTCTGGTGAAACACGGGTGTCTGTTCGAGTAAATCCCGTGTCCTTTATCATTCTCAACAAGCAGTTATTTTTTCAAACAGGGAGATTGTAGCATTGCAGGCAGCAAAAGGGACTCAGGTTTACCAGGCCTGGACGGGGTGAGCGTGCCCTGCCCTTTGGTACAGTACCTGCTCTCTTTTCTTTCTTGCATGGCTTGTGTGTGTGTTTCTGCTGTGGCCAAGCCCCGTCCCGAGGAGCAAATCCCTCCAGGGAAAAGGAAGGACACAAGGCAGCAGAGCTGGAACAAGATGTTTCACTTTGGCATTCGGGGAAGGATGCCAACATGTTGTGCCTTCTTCCTCCCAGCTAAAATGACTAGATAAGGAGTGTAAGCAACAGGAGATCACGTTGGGGAATGCCTGACCCTTTCTTTACAACAACAGATGCTAAAAATTAGTTCTGGTTTCTCTCAGCACCTATCACCCAGTTTGGTTCCCTTGGTGCCTGTGCCCCAGCAGCCCTGTGAGTCCAATTCCCAGCTGGGTTTTGAAAAGCTTTACCCAAATGATGAGCCAGTTCTGCAGAGCAGGGGTCACCAGTACTCTGGGCCTTAGGAGGACATTTGCTGAGTCAGCACATAGCTCTGCCCCATGGAGCTCAGGTTGAAGTCCAGCAGTTATGCAGGAAGGTTTGTGCTCTGCTCCCCAAAAAGGGCTCTCCATGACTAGCTAAAAGAGATCATTGTTTTATTTTCATTTTTTTAACCATAGAAAATGCTGCATGTTAGATGATTTGCAGTTGTCTTCAGAGAAACAAAAAGGCAGTAAGCTGTCTCTCTTTCAAGAAGTTAAATTACTTTCATATGTGTCTAAGAAACCAATTACTAGCAGCAGGCCTGCTTCAACTCTTCATGTTTACTCCCCAGAGTTGTTATATTTACCAAGTATCTCCCATCTTAACTGTACAGAAAGCACAAGACCTGTATGTATTGAAGGCATTGTAAACTGCAGGTGACTCCTCCAGAATGTCACTACTACAGGACTAGTTAGTAAAGCACTTGCACATCTTCCTGCTTATGTATCTGAGGGTTAGTTGCGTGCTGGCTGTGAGCGTTGTCTTTGTGCTCCACCCCACTGTGTGGTGGAGGCTTGCTGGGTTTTCAGCCATGACTTTCAGTCCAGGAGCATGAGCCTTACTTGCAGGTTGCAAAGCTTTTTTTTGAGTTGACAAGTCATTTTGGGATCACTTGAGTGAAACATGGTAGAAAGGCTGGGAGTTTTATGATGGCCAAAATAAGTATTTTGAGTGCAGAGGAAGAAGGAAAAATCCCAGGGCAGAAATCAGCCCTGTGACTGTGGATGTACTTTAACAACAGTTCAGGACCTTTCTAGGTCAACAACTGCTCTGCACCTTGTCCCCTTTACCCTTAACCCCCAGACAACTCTGGCAAACATACAAGTTGCACTTTTTTTTATGAATAGTTATGGACCAAAGTATTGACTGGCACCAGCAGAAAAATGTGTGTTTTCTAACTAATGTTATAGATAGGGAAGCGTGTGAAAATAACTTGACCTGTTACACTACGAGTACCTGGTGACCTTACTTCACTGCATCTGTTTTATTGGGCATAGGCTATTTTACATATAAAATCAATACAGAATACAAAAAATGTGATGACTGACATTTACAGTAAAAAAATGTAAAAATGCATTTTGACCTGTATTTGCACTAGCAGTTATCTCCGCTGCGTACACATCCTCGTGGCTTCCCACCCCTAGTTAATTTGGAGGTGGCTCTGAGGGGGAATGGTCAGTGCATGTGTGCTCTCTTAGCTCTACATGCAGAAATTCATGGAATCAGAGAGCCAAGAGCCTTAAAAAAAATCCAGCATCAGAAAAGGCAGCTGAAGTCAGCCATTTCTTCTAAAGTATCTTGAAAGAGTTGGTCATACATAGTCCACTCCTCTTCTAAGGGGCTCCTTCCTTTTCAGTGTTTTCCTCCTGGTAAGTAAGCTCTTCTGATTTCTGTGTTTCTTGTATCTCCATCAGAAAAAGACAAAGATTTTCACTCCCTTTGCATAGTCCACAACTCATTCTGTTTCAATCAGTTCAGCAACTCAAGATTTCTTAAACTAAGTACTGCAGGATTGAATTTAACACAATCAGGATATCATCCAGGAAAAAAAAAAAATTACATCACCGCCCCCAAACTGAAAAGCGCATTATTAACAAAAAAATACATTTCCACATCATGCTTCCCATATATATGGCTGATTGCAAAAAACACTACCTTATAAAGCAGATCATGAAGTTAATTAACTGTGGTTCCAAATTCTTAGATTTGTTCACATTTTCTTTTTTGTTTAAATGAAAAAGAAAGTGTTTTCGTTTGGTTGGTTTTTTTTTTTACCCCGGGGTGTATTCCGTTTTGTGTTGTGTGTGACACACGGTTTACTTTGCCTGCATATTTATTTCTGTGCATATACAGTAAATGGGTTTTGCATGGTAATTAACGGTGCTGCTAAACCTTTCATGGTTGAGAAGACTGAGCTTCGGGTTTTTGGGTCTGACATTTAAGTCACCACCAACAGAAATTAAATCTGTAAATTCAATTTTGCAGGGACCAGACGGACTGCCAGTAGCAGGATGTTGGCATAAGGTACAGTAATGATAATAATTGTATGTCCGTGAGCAGGTCGTGAGTAATTTTGTTTGCTGCATGGCGATTGTTTGCACTGCTGCACATCCTTTAAGCAACAGGTTATATGCCTGGCAGACCTAACGTCATGCCTTGGGAGAGCAGGTTCCATCTAGCTTCATTTCTTGTTCCCCACCGCTGTAGACTGGTGCTAGGAACACCGCTCCAAAAAACGGCTAAGCATGAAAAATCATTCTCGTCGTCAGTAGCAAAGCCTTTTTTTCAGGCTTGCTCAGGCTAGGCTTTTATTATGGCCCAGGCAGTTTAGGAACCACTCACGCAAAGACTGCACCACTCTGCAAAATGTGCTCGTGTGACTTACTCAGCCCATACCCTCTAGCTGAGACTTTTACAGCCAGTTACCTCTTTGTCACAGAGTTACAAAGCATTTATTTCCAAAGACTTCTCTGCCACTGTAATTCTAATCCACAACCGCTACGCTGCGTCAGTGCTCAAACCAGTCAGGTAATTTGTACTGTCTCACGCACCTGCAACAGCCAGGGGTTGTAAGTGCTAAAGGCAGCTCAGGAGAACGAGATGTGTCTGTCCCCAGTCTGGATTTGATCCAGACTTGTAGGAGGAAGCTGTAACCTCTTTCAGGGTCATACCCTTGTCGGAGAAGCTGAGTGCAATTACTAACCCAGTTTCAAACATGTGGTATGTGGACACAGTTCGAGTTAATAGCAAGCACGTTACTAACCGGTTGCAAACCCTTGGTTAGAGTGTGAGCACGCATGCCCTTAGCATATAGAAGTTTTTAATTCTGTGGTAAGTTGTTTTGATGTACTGTTAATATTAAAAGAAATCTGAATGCCAATCCTTATAATATTAACAATAAGCTCAGTAAGTGTAATGAATGGAGCATTTTCTTTGATTGAAATGTTTGTCTGTGTGTTCTTTTTCAGTGATCTCTAAGCATGAAGCACAGTATGTAAATAATGTGATATATTTTGATCTTTTTAATTTTTGTATAAAAAAAGGGAAAAAAAAAAACCTTTCAACAGTAATATATTGACCTTTTTTTATACTGGATTCTGTCATTTATGGACTTTGAAAATACTGTAAAGCGCCCAAACCCGTAAGATACACATGATAACATCAGGATTTGATAAAGGTACCAATGACAGTAACTGGGAATGAACAGCATTCATTGCTAATGTTGCTGCGTGAACTAACAGCACTGAGACAACGTGTTGCCTAGTGTGCCTTATCGCATGAAGGAGGGAGAAATCCCTATCCTCATTTAGCTCTCAACTCTGTATTTGCATTGCACATACACATTAAAAGGGTGAAAAAAACTGGCTGAAAACAAAGAAGAAGAAAAGGACGCAGCCCTAGAACTGGAAGAAGCTGCTGTATTACCATTGGTCAAACAAGAGGAGGACTTGCAACTTGGCAGAGGAAACAAAAGCCAAGCTCCATTCATTGCTACCTGCTGCTGACATGATGGAAATAGCAGTTCTTTGGCTAAACAGAACAACCTTGACTACCTGTGGTTATTTCCACTACTATCAAGAAAACTTTTTTTTTTCCTCAAGAGGGGAGCACCTCTGGGTGCTGTTCTGGGGTCTGTGGCTGAAAATATGCAAGCGCTTTGTTACTGGGGAACCCAAATTCCCCCAGAAACCTCCACTGCAGAATTTCAGAACACAAAAACCTAGTAATACGTCCAGTGTAGAGAGTTGTGGGACAGGGAGGGCTCTGCTGTAGTCTTTTCTTAAACAACAGAGCACATCATGTTGCTGTTAAGGTTCCCAAAATCTGGGAGTTTGGAGTATTTAATTGTCTTGGTTTGTAGGGTTCATTTGCGTTTGATTTTTCTTGGTTTACATGGTTTTAATTGTAAACTCTGTAACTCTGCACACTCCTCTTGTCCTCTTCTTCCTTCTCTCCCCTTTTTTGGTCTCTTTCTTTAAATGACCACATGTCAGGCACACCCCATGCAGAGCAGGGTAATGAATAAAAGGACTACGATATGACATTAAGCGAGATCAATTAAAAATTTGCCAACTTTTCACATTTTTAAATATGTTGAAAAAAAAATAGCGATTGTGCCATAAAGAGCCATAAAAAATTATTTCAGGGAGGAAGAAAATGGCTTACAGCTGAGTCTGTTCAGCTTACAATGAAGATCAAGAGGCAAAGATTCCTTTACAGGGAGGAGATACCGTATATTAACAAGTTCTTAAACTGAATAGAGAAAGATGTACAAATATCCAGCCAATGGGTAAAAGCTGAAGCTACACAAAATCTAATAAAGCAAGCTATGCATTTTTAATGGTGGGACTGGTTAATACTAACCAGACCAGTGATGTAATCCACATCATTTTAATGCCTTTTTGTTTTAACAGATCATTTCTGGAGGAAATACTTTAGCCCAATACAAGTTGCTAGGCTCTGTGTAGGAGTCTTAAGTAAAATTAAGAGCCTGACCACAATATCAAACCAGATGGTATCAGGGCTGTTTGTGGCCTTGGTCTTACAGAATACAGAAGGGAGTCATTTTTGGTGCGCTGAGTCAGTCTGAACCCTCTGCTAGATCCTTGTTCTACTGCATCTCTTACGGCAGCTACTGCCCGAGGGGACCTGAGAGAAGGATGCGACTATTGGGGCAATCCGCCCTGCACCAGATGACCTAGTGCTAAGGTAGTTCTTGCTCTGATATTCTGAAGAACAGTAGGACCGTGCTCTGTGCTCCACGCAGGCAGGGTGATACGTGACCAGTGTCTGTGGGTTCTTATCTGTGACTGGGTCCTAGGTGTCCTTGAGCTTATCCTTTTAGTCAGCTGAAAGCCTTTGTTATCTGCTGGTAAATGCAGGAATGGCCATCTAGCTTGGTAGATGCGGACACACAAGACTTACGGCTGTAGGCAGTGAACTTTTGTTACCTGTCTTTGTTAGCTGCTTAGGGTCTACACCTACACATTGCTTGCTTTGTGGCTATACTTTGCATCTTTACCAGTTACTGACCGTTTTCTTGGTCGCCATACAGATTAAATCCATGTAAATTCATATCAACTAACAAATCAAGAAACAAGAATTATGTAACTCAAAACAGCAATGAAAATGCATTTTATTTACTTCCATTTCATGTTGTTAGCTATCACTTTTGGTGTAGGGGTTTTTAAAGGCATAAGGAGCAGTTGAACAAGCTCCCACTGGCTTTTAGTGCTTTTGAAAAACCCCTTTACTGCCCGAAATTAAAGCTAAAAATCATCTTCTGTGGAAGGTTGAAGGCAAATCTCTCATTGATGTCACTGGGAAGAAGATCTGTAATTGATCCCTTAATGTACAGTTGCTCTTCCCATCTCCCCCAGTCATCTCCAAACTAAAAGCAATTCACTACTCCAAACCACACTGTGGGCTTCTACACTCAAATTCCTGCACGTGTCCTGTTCATGGAACCTCTTATCGATATCAATGAGAGTTCAGTCCCCAGAATGACTGCAGAAAGCACAAGAATCTGGAAGTGTCCACAAACAATCTACAATGCAGATAGAAAAGTCTTGTTTTACATACGCTGGCAAAAACTAAACAGCTTTCTATCTAGCTCCTACTCGAAGAAGTTTGATATCACTGAAGCTACAAGACAAGCTAACCTCCAAAGCTTATGAAATTATATTAAAATTTATATTTTCTCTGAGGAAATACCCCGAAGTCCTATTATCTTCAGGTAAACAAGTCAGTATTCCGTCTTCAACTTGTGGAATATCCAGTGCTTGTAGGCATCAACTGTGACCACTGCCAGGCCTGCAAAACATTGATACAGAATACCAGAATAGTGCTTTACCTATTGCTCTAATGGCTCTGCATGGCAGCCATCCCCCTCCCAACACAGAGCCTCTGCTGCCACAGAACCCAAGACATTTGTTTGTAATGGAGGAAGAGAGCTCAGTTTGAATCAACTAAACCTCTCAACTGGGGTTGTCCTTTCCCCATCCCCGAGGCACAGCCTGACCACTCAAGGCGTTTCCATGCCAGTCAAGGAGGAAGGCCAGAATTATCTTCCTAGCACAGGACTGCGGCTGGTATCCACACCCAGCAGTGCTACCGCCTCGGCTGCCAAACCCTTTAGTGATCATCTTTGAAACTTCCCAGGCAAATGCTCTCTCTGCATTGGTTTGTTCTGCATCCCAAATACTGTGAGTCCTGCACGTAGAGAGGAGATCCGTCTGTGCACCCGCAGCAAGGCTGGTCCGTTCAGGACATCTGCCCTAGTGCACGCGCACCGATCTGCTGCCTGCGCGCGCAAGCTGCTCTGGATTTCTGCTGCTGTCGTTTCCCTGGGAAACGCTGGCAGGGTCAGACCCTGCCATACACAGCACCTACTGCCACTTCAGCTACGAGGAACTAAGCAGTAGATCTCCGAGGATCTGCCAGTGGTACGTCTACTCTACCAACCCCTTTTCTGTGGCCAAAGCAGCTGAGAGCTGTGGAAAGCAGAGCTCCCACGTGAGGCTGCTGCGGTTCTGATCTGCGCTTGACGTCCTTCCTGGTCCTCAGCTGAGATCGGTGCATTTAGCCTTTATCATCTGAACTCAGTGTTCCTTATCGATCCTAACATGCAGATCGACAGGCTGTATTAGAGGAACTGTTGATTTTTTTGTATCGATTGCACAGAGTCTAAGAGGAAAACTGTTTAGACTGCCATGTGCTTTCCACACACAGACATATTTAGAAGACGAGGTGGTTAAATGATAAATTGTTTCAGAGCAATCATGATCTTATTGGGAAGAGTTAAAAAAAGATGTGCTTTGCTCAGCAAATTCATGCCAGATCAGTTTATTATTTTCTCCTTCCATATGAAAATGTTTATGTGGGTCTTTCTGAATACTTTTGAGTTTGCAAATAGCTCACGAAGATAAATTTTACTTTAAGGTAGTACTGGCAGCCTCACTCAAAACGCAGTAATTATCTCAGCATCTCACAAAGTGTAGTGCATTTTTTTCCCCAGGAAACCCATCTTTTTTTTTTTTTTTTCCCCTCTCTGGTTTGAGAGAATGTAAGGGGTTTTTACAGGAATTCAGAAATACAGCTAAGTGTTACCACTAGATGTCAGCAGCAATAAAGATGATTTAACAGGGAAGCTTCTAATGCTTATTAAATGTAGGTCAGCCTGAGACTGAGCAATTGATTTGTCTTGACCACTAAAATATTAAGTGTGTTAGCCTCGTGGATCTATCAGTGGACATTCTGGGTAACACACTTAAATTTACTGATCTGAAGCCTAGCCAAATTTATGTGTTATCTTTGTTTTCTAGTTTAAAAACCAAAATTCCTTAGTCTAACAATTATGAAAGTATTATTTCCATTGTTAAAGATAACCACGTCTGCCTGCTGCTCAGGAGCAGAGGACAAGCAGCAATCTTTAAGGCTAATTAAAATTGCACCTGACAACCATCTTTCCAGTTACCACCACCATCCTCTCTCCAACATACTGTAGCCCAACCGATTTTGGAAGCAAAGTTCCCAGACTGAGTCCTAAGAGCACAAGAACTCATTTGAAACCCCTGAAGAGTTTTTCAGCCGTGGAGCTGTGCCAAGAGGCCGGCCTGCCCACCAGAGATGGCAAACGCGTTACGTGACTCACGCTGGAGCTGCTGCTGCCTGTAAGCCTGGGGAGCGCTCCCTAAGGTGCTGGGGGGGAAGGGAACATAGCCAACTAACCCCCACACCTAACTCCAGTGCTGAAGGCACGCTGGCAGCTCGAGAGGCCCCTTGTCAGAGTGTGGACCCAGTGATTTGGCCTGTGCTGATGGAGGCAGGTGAGACTAATTAGTTTTGCAGTTGAATCACTGGCTTGGCCAGTGAGTTAAGGAATATTCCTCTGGGTTATGAAACAGGTGGCAGAGAAAACCCAGTCTGGCTCCAGACTGAAACTGTTTCCAAGCCTTAATGCTCTGGGATTTTAGTTTTGGGTTTGTTTTTTTAGAAATCACGACATTGCCACATGCTTTGTTTTATTCTCGTGGGGAAGGGGAGAGAGTTGCCTTTCTTGTATACACTGCTTCTAACACGTGCTGTATATATACTGGTGATGAATTTATTGCCATATGGATTTTTCTCCTGTGTATTTAAAAATAAGAATGGTTCTTCTAATGATAAGATACTTTCTGATGTGTTTTCTTTGTAGGAAACCAATAGATGAAACATTTAGGTGAGCTTTTTGTCTTCTGTAATTCCATAAATTCAGCATTTGAAATCCTTAAGCAAACCAGCAAAACGTATGTGAGGTTTCAGCAGTTCAAGACATTCTATGCAATGATGAAAAGTAATCCATGGAGAATGACAGAGGTCATTATCCATGGTTTTAATGCTGTCACAGTAACCCGCTACCCAGGAAGCATGTTTGGGATGGCCAAGGCTTTCATGCCTGAAAGCCTGAGTTCTAGTCTGGCTGCTTTCTCTTCCCCCCCCCCCACATACAAGCTGTGTCCCATTTCAGCTGCTCTAACTGAGGACAACTGTGTTGGCTGTGACAGTGCTGAAATACATTACACCAGCAAAGATTTCAGTCTGCACTGTTTACTATCTCACCAGCCCACAGCTCAGAATGAATCTGTGAATTTTTATATGTGGCACATGGTTTTGCAATCGGCCAAATATAGCGGACTTGGGCCAGAATGAAAGAGCTCACCCATGTGTAATGCAATAAAATACTAAGATGCTAGAAATTTCCAGCTTTGTTGTAATGGTAAATAACCATCCTTTGCCAATATAACTGTGCCTTATTAACCTGTAAATGTAGTGTGTGTTATAAAGGAGTATTAGAACTTCGGTTTCCTGCTAATTAAATCCTGATTTAATGCTGCCCTCTAGAGGAGATTTCTTTTCAATAGAGAGAAACAAATTTTATGCTGAGACAAATTTTATGCTGTAACACTGTCCCTTAATTGACAGCACACATAGGGATGGGCACACCTTTTGCATAACTATATGGTTTGAATAGATGTTTGTAAAAAAGGAGCATACAGATAGAAACTTTAGTCTTTATTCCAAATCTGGTATTTTTTTCTTGGGAAATAACATCATATTCTCACTTCTTTTGGGTTTTTTTAGTCCCATTGTTGCCCAGATAATATAAAGCATTATACAAATAAAATTTATCATCTGTAGTAGGTTACCTGTCAAGTTGCCTTTTTAAAATTTTAGAGCATGGAAGCTTTGAATTATTTTTTTACAGACAACAAATTTATATTTGAGATATGCACAAGTATGAGTAATAACAAATGATAAAAATGTAGATGTCCCTAAACTGCTTATCCTGGACAGATACTGTAGGTATCTGGCTGAACTCAAATCAGTGAGTTTGGTTCTGACTTGCACTAGCATAGCTAGGAGCATCCTCAGTAGGTGTCCAAGGGTGGAAAAAAACCTCAGTACTGTTTTATTTCATTTGAAGCTCCTAAGTTTTACCTGTTAGTATCTGCTGATGTGCTTAGTAGCACAGCCAGCCTTCCAGTTGTTTAACTAGGAAGATTTTTCAAGTGAGGGGTGAACTATTTAGATTGATTTCAAGAGGCCTAAGACACTTTAGCTAACCAAAGCAATCACTGTGGCATATACTGACCTTGGCAACCTTACAGGACAGCATTATGTAAAACTATTCCTTGGATCCTTTGGCAACAGTGATTTAAATTTTTTTTAAGGGGGAGTGGGGGGAAGGAAACATCTGGTCACTCTATTTAGTTGAGTCTCGCTGTTATTTACTGGAGACACATTTAATTGTGTTCTTGGCACTGCAGTGAACTTGACTGTAATTAGTACAGTTGTAAAACTTCACAGCTCCACGCTGGGGAATCTATTGCAGACTGAAGCGAACTAGTGAGTAGAAAAACCCGTTTCCTGAATTTTGTTTTCCTTATTATTTACATTTGTAGGCTAAAAATAACTTCTAGTATTTTAGTGTCCCCAGGTGAACTTTTCTATATCCTTGTGTACATGTGGATGTCACAACAAAAGGGATGTCTAACTATTGTGCAATCTGCAGCTAAAGTAAGTGCTGAAAACCTGTCACTTAGAAATGAATGGAAGAAGGACTTAATAGATTGTATGACTCTATACTACTATAGAGACCCTGAGGGAAAACCACAGGAAAGCTGAGAAACATGAGTTTTCAAAGTATAAGAAGTGGCATTATTGACAAGAGTGGAATAAGAAAGACATTATTAACATTTGTGGCTTTCCTGCATCTTAGGACAACAATCAATCCCTTCTTGCTAAGTTCTGGTAGAAGTTGCCTCATAGCTGCACAGTTTCATGGAATAGTCAGCTCACTTGTGTGTCTGTGTGTGGTTTCTTATATAACGTAGATATTAATGAACAGAAATGTAAAATGGAGATGCCCCAAGTATCTGTAAACAACACTAATACCACTCGCTGCTTTTTTATACGCTGTTAAACACTGCATTTTATGCTGAACTTTGAGAAGTGCCTTCTACATAATGTTATTAAGTGAGTGCCTATCAAACTTGCATCTCTACAATTATATAAAAAATCAGGACCTGGTTTTACAAAGCAAAAGCACCCACGTTAGCCACCGAATTCCCAAATCAAGCAGAAGAGGTAATAAACTGCCATCAGTTAGAGTAAGATTTGGAGTTCTGTTGTGTTTGCAAGTTAGTTTCATGGACGGAGCGTAGTTTTTACAGATAATTAGTAGCAACCTTTTGTGCGACTGCTTAGGGTTCTTTTTTTCTGGTATCTTAAAAAAACAATCAAAAATACTCAATATGATGAATGCTCAGCACAAAATACTAGAGTCAAAACTGAAAGCCACCACCTGTTGCATTAAATTACTTTGAACATAGAAATATTTTAAAACGGACATGTACGCTAGCATTTCTGAAACAACGTAATTTGAGAAACTATACCTGCTAGATTTAAAATCTAAATTAAAATTTCACTTATTTGTATACAGTTTAGAAAATACATGCAGTGTGTGCTTAATCTGTCCATATTTGTTTTGAAATTATGCTAATAGGGCTTAATCCTCTACCACGTTATGCAAGTGTCCCTTATTTATGTGAGTTGTTGCATCACTCTAGTAAGGCTGTTTGGAGGAGAAAAGGCTGTTTGTGTGTGTGTGCAGTTTGGACACCTTGTGAGAATTAGTTTTGTTTTGAATGTATTTTACATGGTATCTGATACAAAGCTGACTAAATCTCTGTAAAATGTATCGCCTTTAAAAAGAAATATATAGAGATATTAAAAATACAGAAAATGTACTTAACTTTGCAAACTCTTTGTGGTTCTTAATCATGTGTATGTGCCATAAAAAGTATTCTATTTACTCATTTCTTTGGGGAACAACTACTTTAAAAATGAAGGCATTAATAACAGTATTTCTTATCCATTGTTTTAACATGTTAAAATGGTATTAATTAGTACTGCATCATGTATTTCTAGTTTAAAGCTATAATGGACAGTACATTAGCTTGAGACCTCCAAAAATATTCTTTCTTGTGCTTTCTGTAATAAAAGCAAAGGCTAGATTTTTTTTAAATGGTCTCTCTGTACAGAATGCTTTTTACAATTGTGTGAATATGTATAATGAACTCTGCATTTGTAACCAAGAATAAACTTTCCAAATTGTAAATGTTCAGGTTGTTATTATAAATAGCTACTAAGTATCTTAACCAGACAAGAGTTCAAATAAAGATTAACAGCCGTTATTAATTTTTTTTCCACTGTCTTTTGTTACTTAAAACCTGACTTATATGCAACAACTGTGTTTGACTTCCTAAATTCAATCTAACTTTAAGTGCAATTTGGGTTCTCCGTATTACACAAAATTTAAACTGCTTCTGCATTTATCAAAGACCTGCAACTCGAGATAATTATTGGTGCCTACATCTAGTCAGCCAAGTGTGTAGTTTTAAAAGGGTCTGCTCTGTTTTCTAGTCTTCTTAGCACATGTTGTAGGTTTAAAACAAAAGGTGAACATGTACTTGGAAGGAAAAAAAGTCTGGTATCTTTTAGACTGAAGCTTGGTAAGTTTATGAACTCAGTTATGGGATACAACACCCACAGTGGCAGAGGACCCATTCCAGAACATCCTTTCTGGTTATCTTCCTCTTTTTCTGTAAGTAATTCAAATCAAACAGGAATGGAGGAATGACCATTCTAATCTAACGAGCGCATTTCCTCTTTTAATCCTATTTGCCTATTCTAGGATTGGCTCCTAAATAGTCAGGTCTACCTATCTGTCACTGACCAAACACAAGACTATAAATGGTTTGGTTTTACTTTTGTTTAAAGAGTTAAGTACGCGTTGAACAATTAATACAGTTGTAACGCCTTCGCTACCATCTCGAACTATTTTCCCTGGTGAAAGAAGCATCCTTGACACGTAGGTAAAGAGAGGGAGCGTTACGATTCAGCTGGAACACTGATCCTGAGGAGCCCCCCTCCGGGAGGGGCCGTTCCCCTCGGAGCTGCCCGCAGCCTCCCCCCGCCCCGTGCTCTGTGCGGGACCTCGGAGCCGAGCCCGGCCCGGCCCCGCAGCCGGAGGAGCCGGCACGCACTGGGGAGTTACTGGGGAGTTACTGGATGTCCCTTGAGACACCAGCTGTGCCCTGAGCTGTGCTGGAGGCGCTCAGCTCAGGGGCTGGGCCCTGCCGGTGCCTGGGTCCTCGCTCGGGCTGCGCCGCCTGTCCCGCCGCAGGGCAGTGGCTCCCCGCCGGCAGGCCCCTCCCC